AAAAACACCACAGCACAACCCTGCCCTGGTCCTCCGTAAGTCCTTTATATATTTTTTAACCTTATTTTTATGTTGAACATAAAATATTCTCTAGCCTCAGAGAGCCTAAGTTCCAATCCGCCACACTTATCAGGCTTTGGGAATGCCATGTAGTCTCCTTGTGGCTCAGTATCCTCATCTGTAAAATAAGAGTAATAGGAGCCCCTGGGTGGCTCAGTCAGTTAAGCAGCCAACTCGATTTTAGCTTAGGTCACGATCTCAGGGTCATGAGATTGAGCCCTGAATGTGGCTCTGTGCTCAGTGGGGAGTCGGCTTCTCTCTCTCTCCCTCTCTCTCTCCATCCCTCTCCCTCTGCCCCTCTCCCTGCTTGCCCACTCTGTCTCTAAAATAAATAAATCTTTTGAAAAAATGAGAGTAATAAAGTACCGTCCTCACAGGATTATAAGAATTTGATAATACATATAAAGCACTTAGAACATTGCAAACACTAATAATAGACAATAAGATTGATTCCTGTCTCCAACCTGGGGATACAAAATCACTATACAGAAAGATCAGATTCCTGTCGACCCTCCCACTGCACTAATCAGCAGCTCAAGAAATAAGGGAAAAAATAAAGGTCATTCTATCCAGCTCCCTTTTCCCCATTCCCTCTCCCTTTTCTCCGTTGTTTCTTTAACTCATACTCATGTGAAGCCCTAAGGCTGTGTCCATATTTTAGCTAAGAGCTAAGACCTAAATTCCTTTTTTTTTTTTTTGTGGGTCATTTTTAGGTACATTTTTACAAATTACTCCCTTTTTTATAATAAAAAAGACTGCCTTCACTTGGGGACACAGTATTTTAATTGCAGCATTTTATGAGTTACATAGTTTTTTCAAATAAACAGAAACCTCCCTCCAAGCAGGATTACCTGTGCTTCCCTTCCTCTTGGCAAGATAACTCTTTGGAATAAGAATAATAACAACAGAGACTTTTCGGGGCGCCTGGGTGGCTCAGTCGGTTAAGCAACCAACTCTTGATTTCAGCTCAGGTCATGATCTCAGGGTGGAGGCATCGAGCCCTGCCTTGGGCTCTCTGCTCATCAGGGAGTCTGCTTGAGATTCTCTGCCTCCCCCTCTGCTCCCTCACTCGCTCTCTGTAAAATAAATCTTTTTAAAAAAAGGAACAGAGACTTCTCTTATATCATTCCTCCTATTATTTGCCTGCTTCCATTGTGCCTACTCAACTAACAATACCAAGAAATCTAAAAAGTGAGCCTTGGGGCGCCTGGGTGGCTCAGTCGTTACGCGTCTGCCTTGAGCTCAGGTCATGATCCCAGGGTCCTGGGATCGGGCTCCGTGTCGGGCTCCCTGCTCCGCGGAAGCCTGCTTCTCCCTCTCCCACTCCCCCTGCTTGTGTTCCTTCTCTCGCTGTGTCTCTCTCTGTCAAATAAATAACTAAAATCTTTAAAAATAAATAAATAAAAAATAAAAAGTGAGCCTTATCCTCAAGATGTTTGATGCCAGAAGTTGGCATTTCTTTATTAAGGATCAGAGACTTACATACATTTTTAAATAATTTTTTAAGTATTTTTTTTAGAGAGAGAGAAACTGCATGCACGCGTGTGAGTTGCCGGGGAGGGGCAGAGGGAGGAGGAGAGAATCCCAAACAGGCTGCACAGCCAGCGCAGAGCCCAACTCGGGCACTATTTCACGACCCGAGATCATGACCTGAGCCAAAGTCAAGAGTCCAATGCTTAACCAACTGAGCCATCCAGATGCCCCAAAGACTTACATTTTTATTTAAGATTTACAGAACTGATTACATTATGAGTGGCTCTTTATCTTTACCCTTTAAAAACAGCATTTTCCTTGAAGTCTCATGTGCTTTTAATGACCTCTCTTCCACAGATTGAAATGCTCTAGTCAAATGTCCCATTTATTCTACAAAGCCGAGGCACTGTTTTTAGCTAACCAAATGTTTGGACAGCAGTTTTTGCATGGTAAACTTGCAAGCAGCGACTCACAATCCTTATCGCTGATAGCTCCTTCCTTCCTCCCTTACTTGGAGTGGCTTATAAAACAGTTGAAGAATAAAGTTGCTGGCAGGTGTGTCTTACCTATGGTGATGCTATTAGGGAGGTAACCCCATCACGAGTTCTCCCAGTATCTTCTCTCCACCAAAGAGAGAAATTGGCTTGAGTCATCTTTGTGGTTCATGTGTACGATGGTGTCAAGCTCACTGAGGAGACAGTGCTATGAAAATGTGTAAAAGCACCCGTAAATTCCCACTCTGAGAATTCTCACTTAAGAATTGGAATTTGGAAATAGTCCTAAATCCAAAATCCCAATTCAGGTGCCATGATACTCACCTGGTGAGAGAGAAGTGAGACGAGGAATAGGCCCGGGAGGAGGATGGCCCAGGGAAAGAGGTGTGAGTAACAGGACCCCGGGAGGCAAGGTGAGGGGGATAGGGGCAGGACAGTAAGATGAGACAGTGCAGCAGTGCAGGTTAGTGAAAGAAAAACCCAGAGATTTATGTAACATCTTACGGAGCAAATAGGCAGGAAAGGTTCTCCAGCCCACATGCATCTGTTCTGGAATCTGAAAATTACTTTGGAGGGTTTTGATTTTTTAGCAGTCCCTCTGCCTGATGTTCCACAAAGCTCCAGCACAAAGGACCACACTACCTTGCATACAGCAGACACTCAAATATTTGTTGACTTTTGAAAGGAGGAGAAAGGAAGATGGGGCAAATGAATCTCTCGTCTCCCATAAGCCAGAATCTGTTTAAACTGTAAATCCAAACTGCTCTCATCTGCCTGGCCAGCAAGCCCTCAAAAGAGCATGCCAGCAGCTACTTTTTCCTCACCAGTACACTGGGACATTTGGCTTCCTTATTTATGAAGATACCCTGGATTTTCTCATTCTTTTTAAAGCACTTTTTAAACAGAGAGTGAGAAATAGAGATGGTGGAAGGGGAGAGGTGGGTGAGGGCGTGTGTGTGTGTGTGTGTGTGTGTGTACACAAAGCCTAAACAGTAGACTGGAGTCAGAACACCTGGATTCTAATCCATTTAGCCAGTAACTTTGTAAACATGGCCAAGTCGATTGAGTTGCCATGCAGTTTACTCATTTTCCAAATGGGAATAATATTTATTCCACATACCTCACAAGGTGGCACTAAAGATTTAAAGAAATTATATCTAAGAGCATTTTGAAATGATAAATTTCTGTATCAGTCTAAAATAGAGGCATTAATTACTGTGGTAAATGGAAAGAGGTTAAGAGGAATATTATTGGATGAGGAGGAAAGGGGGTGGCTGGGAAAAGAGAAAAGCCCCTCCTTCATTTGACAGATGCCAGAAAAAGCCAAGACCACCCCATTCCTGAAACCACAAAATTGGTCAATACTTTCTTTTATCTTGAGACATCTCCAGAAAAAAAGAGTTCTTCCTTTTCCCTGCTCTTGTGTGCCAGGGATTTGTATTCATTTTTTGGTCGTTGCATGTCTACCATATGCCAGGCAATGTGTTTGTTAGCTTATTATTGTTCAATAATTAGCTCTAGAGGACAATACTTGCAGATTTTCACAGGACTTCGACAGGTCATCTCCTATATCCCACTAACTTTCCTTGTTGAGGGAATTGGCAGCTCATCCCTCACCATTTAATATGTTGAGGAACAGAGTTCTAACGAAATTCAGTGACTTGGGGCGCCTGAGTGGCTCAGTGGGTTAAGCCCCCGACTCTTTAGTTTCTGCTCAGGTCACGATCTCAGGGTTGTAAGATGGAGACCCGCCTGGGGCTCTGAGGTCAGTGCAGAGTCTGCTTGTCCCTCTCCCTCTGCTCCTATCTCTCTTAAATAAATAAATAAAATCTAAAATTAAAAATTTTTTTAAAAAGAAAGAAATTCAGTGACTTGACCAAAGGCCACAAAGTCGTGATGATGAAACTAGTACCCAAACCTGGGTTTCCTGACTCCCCACCTCCCCTTAAATCTGTACTGGAAAAAAATGAAGTTACTAATATGTTGGTCTGTAAGCTCTGAGGCAGATCTGGTGTGGGAGGCATCAGCAGAGGTTTCCCCTAGTCAGGGCATCCTCTGGGCATGGAGCCCTTCCCTCCACTGGATTCGGATGGGATGTTTCCAGGTCAGTGCAGCAGGAAGAGATACCCAGGTAATAGGAAGTTTAAGCCTCACCTGGAGCTTATATTTAAAGCCACATGGTACTCTGGACAATGGCTTTGGAGACAGAGAAATCTACTCCTGCCAGTACTTAGCGTGTGTGTCTGCATATCCCTCGGCCATCCTGAGTCTCACTTCTATGTGCAATGGAGCTCATACGTATATCCACTTCATACTTAGGAGGCTCAAAGAAGGCCTGAGGCTTTGTAAACTGGTAGCAATATGGATTACTATGCACTCCACTCCCCCCGCGTGCCCCTACACACCAACCAGTACCCCAGTCCCCTGGGAACATAAAACTTTTCCCCAGCACCTGACCTACCCAGGCCACTATCTCTACCACCCAGGGAGTGTGAATTCCAGATGCCGGTCCTCGGTAAGGCGGGCGCCCTCCCACCTCCCGCTCTTGTTTTTGTTTTTGTGTTTGGGAGGGAGACGATCTCGATCTAGGTTATCTCGGTCTTCCTAGACCTCTCTCCATTATCCGTTCCAGCCGCCTCCGCGGGCTGTCTGGGCAGGTCCAGCGGGTCGCTGTCTCGGGCTCCACCCCCGGCTCCGGCCGCAGGTGCGAGCGTGGGTCCCTCGGACCAGCCCCCCTCCCCGTCCCCCGCCCCGGGAGCCGCTCTCCCGCTGGGTTTAGGTCTGTCTTCTTCACCCTCAGCGAGTCAGAAACAAAGGAGGGGGGTGGGGGAGCGCACCATCTCCGGCTCCGCGATTCGCCCTTTATTCTGAACTCGCAACGTCAGCGGGCCGGCGGATGGAACCGCGGGGCGCGGGCCGGGCCGCCCACAGCGCGCCGGCCCGGGGACCTGGCGGCGGGGGCGCGCGGGGGCCCGGGCCGCGTGGGCGCCGGGATGGAGGGCGCCGAGGGGCGGGGAGCGGGCGTGCGTGTGTGTGCGAGTGCGAGGGAGGCCGGCCTTTAGTGTAACCGGAGCTACAAAGAAGGGGAGAGTCCGGGAGAGGGAGGGAGGAGCGGCGGCGGCGGCGCCGGGGGCAGCTCCGCCAGCCGGCCCCTTCCCCCCGCGCCCGCGCCCGCGCCCACCCGGAATGATGAAGAAGAACAATTCCACCAAGAGGGTGAGTGCGCCCGCGCCCGCCGCCGGCCGCTCCGAGGACCCCGGCCCCGCGGCCCCGGCGCCGCCGAGGGGGGGGGCTTTTGTGTGCGGACTTGGGTCGGGGGCTTGGACTTGGCTCACTTTCCGCCGGCCCCCGGCGCCCCCTCCCCCGGGCGGCCGGCCGCCGCCTGCGTGCGCGCTGCAGCGGCCCCGAGACAATGAGAAATAAAATAAAATGCCGTTAATCCCGGCGCGGCGGGGACCGAGGCTGCGGGAGGGGGCGGGGGACCTGGCGGCCAGCCGGAGGCCACCCTCCGCCCAGGCCGGGCCCCGGCCCCTTCCCCTCGCACTTGGAGTTGTTTATGTGGGGGAAGCGGGAGGGCAGCGGTGGGGTAGAGAGTTGCCCGGAGTGAAAACCTTCCGAGGAGTGGGGAGCGGACGCGGGGCGCCCTGAGTCCAGCCTCTGGGGGGGGTGGGGGGCGGTCACGGGAAAGCCGGCGAGAGGGGAGCCGAGGGGGGTCGCGAGGGCCGGAATGAGACGAGGGGAAGGCGATAGCCACCTAACCGGAAGGTTCTGCTCTTGCCCTGGGGCAGGGGCTTCAGGATGGCAACCAGCCGTCCGCACCGCCGGAGAAGGTCGGCTGGGTCCGGAAATTCTGCGGGAAAGGGATTTTCAGGGAGATTTGGAAAAACCGTTATGTGGTGCTGAAGGGGGACCAGCTGTACATCTCTGAGAAGGAGGTAGGTGCCCTCTGCCTCCGCTGTCCCTGCTTCCTCACATTCCCCGTTTTGTCCCTCCACAGGGGACTCACCTACCTCCGCCTCCCGCTTCCCTCACCCCCCCCCCATTTTGTTCCAAAAGCAAGTTCAGCAATTCGGTTGGTCTCTACCCCTGTCAGATCTGCAGAGAAAGGTCACCCTTTCTCCAGAAGACCCGAGTTAGAATTCGAAGTCGAGCGTGGCATTTTACTTAATGATTTTTCTTGGCAAACACCTTTCTGACAACGACGATGACCCCCCCCCCAAGGTGTCCCAAAAGTTCTAAGTGTCCCCTGCTGCCCCCTACCCTATCCTGGCAGCTAACTGGAGGTAGGATTTTTTTTTTTTTTTCTTTGCCACGGCTGCTGAAAAACTCTGCTCACCTTCTTCTTCACCCCTTCCTGTGCCCCTGCCCCCAGCCAGCGAACCTCCTCGGTCCTGTCTCTAGCAGGGGGGGGCATATGCGGGTCATATCACAACTGCAGCTGCCCCAGTCACAGAAAACACAGACACAACCCTGGGTCAGTCTCATATGACCTCAGGCAGAGTATCTATGAGTGGCAGTTATTTCTGTTGAAGCCAACGTTCCTAACCTGTATGCTTCCCACTCCATTAAAAAAAGAAGCAGCAGCAGCAAGGAACTCATTCTCCACCCTCTTCATAACTTCCCCCAGTTGTATCAGAAAGGAGACAAATGGAGTCAGGAACCCCTGTCCGTCCCTGGGTAGTTAAAATGAAAACCACAGTCGGCATTCAGAACCTGAGTCCAGATCACTGAACCCACACTCTTCTCCCTTTTATCTCTATTTCTTGAGATCAGTAACACCTGAGAAACTGACATTGCCTTCCGTGAGTTGGAAGTCATTCCAGTCCCCTACTTCTGAGAATGTCCACATTAGGCTAGGACACTGTCCTGTGCTCCCCTGGTTGGGTGGCCCTTCCTCCCCTAATCCTGTGCCCCCCCCCCCAGCCTAACTGGGAAGTCCACCCTGAGTTCTAACCTCTTCTGCTTTCTGCAGTAGACTATATTTAGGTAAATAAATCCTTATATGGTATTGAAACAGACACATGCGCAGTCCTAGAGAAAGTCTTCATTTGAACAGAACATGTACCTAGGCAAGTAGGGGAGAGCTAAGCTGTGCCCAGGCCCGAGCCATCCCTCTTTTGGGTGTTTCGACCTGACTGTTTACACCAAGCTGGGAACTTGGTGATGGAGGGCAGTGGGAGAAGACTTTGACAGCAGGATTTCTTCTTAAGGGCCATCTCTACCCAATCCCAAATCCTGTAGAAGGTTTTTCCACATTTTGCTGGCTTTCCAGTTTAAAAAATAGTAATAATAAGCAAGTGTCAAAGGGTATCTCCTGTCTTCCCCGAAGTTCATAATGGCAGGAAACTCTGGTGAGCAATCAGGGAGAACTTCCCACACGTCAGAGGGGAACCATGAGAACAGGGAAAGGGTAGAAGGAACAAGACATCTTTTCTTGTTTGTATTTGTCCAAAGAAAAGAGTCTGGGAGCGAAAGAGCATGCTTGCTCCCTGTTTGTGGATGAAGGAGTACAGAGACAGGGGGAAGGCTCGAATGACCTCAGCCTCCAAGGCTTGGTGTCCTCTGAGTCAGGAGCATCTGACAGGTCATGGGGCCCGCTGCCCCCTGCTGAGAAGGGCGCAGGAGAAGTGGGGACAAGCCTACTGTTACTCCTCTTCTTTGGAGCCCGTTTCCATGCTACGGCAGGCCTGGGCTAAGGGTGAAGCTGACAGAGGACTCTGGGCTCTATTCTGTCCACTTCCCACAAGCTCCAGAGCTAACAGATTCCAGGTTTTTTTTTAAAAATACAAAGTATAATGTTTGTAATTTATGTGTTAATGCAAGAATATCCCTAACCCTCTCCCCTCGAATCTTCAACAGTCTTTTTTTGTTACCTCTCCTCATAAAGGGGGTCTCCCACCACCACCTCCATCAAAGAAATCCTTCTGTATTTGTTGTTATTAATCATTTTCCTCATTCTCAAAGGGCACCTTATGATCATGGGGCTGATGTATAGGAAGAGAAACTAGATCTTAGGGAGATCTCCTGGTAGAGGAAATTGGGTTCAGGGCATCTTTTTTGGCAAGGGAACATCCCTTTCTGTGGGCCCAGGGGAAAGGAAGGGCTAGCTTTGGAAGATGGATAATTATAAATGAGACTTTGGGACGAGGGTCTCGGAGCTGTCCATCTGCCGTGGGACTGGAATCTACTTGTCCCGCCGTTTCTCTTGTCCTTTCTCCTACCACGGCCTAACCTCTGTCACTGTCTCCTTCCTGGAGCTCCCTGTCAGCGTGTCTGAGGCAGAATACCCCCCTCCCTTTCCTTCCCTTCTCCCTTCCCTTCCCTTCCTGAAAGGAAAACAGAACAAGTAACTCTCCTCCCCTGGCTCCGTACACACACCCAGCACTTTCCTCTCTAAGAGTCCTGGCGGCTGCTGATAGTCTCAAGACTGAGGAAGAAGGACAGCAGGGCTGATGCATCATCCTCCCTCCCTGCCCCACATTTCTGGGAATTGTTCTCAGATACCCCTTGCCAACACCTTCTCTGCTTCCATCCACAAGCCTCCGGGGCCTCTGGTCACTTACTAGCCTCAAGCCGGGGAGCCCCGGAAGGGGAAAGCCGTGGGGGAGGCACTCCAGGCCAACACAAACAGGCAGATGTATGAGCAGCCATTGACCCCAGCGAGGCTGTGTGATGAGCCCTCCGCCTCTGTGTCAGCCCCCTGGCCCCAGCGGTGAGTCCGAAGGACAGGCAGATGCAAGACCAGAGGTGGGCTGGGGAGTGGAAGAGAGACTCACTCCCCCACCTCAAGGCTGCTGAGAACCAGGGGAACAGATGAAGTCACCTGCGTGCACACAGCTCCTGGTTCACGCTTGAGAAACAGTTCCAATCAGGGAGGGTGGGTGTCTTCCAAGGGAGATAGGAGACTACTTTTATCTGTTTGTTTAGTTTTAACAAGACAAGCACTCGCGCTCTTCCTCTCTCATCCCAGGAAAACGCGAGCAGCTCGTTCCCAGGGTCTTCCGATCCCAGGCTCAAATGGTAGAGGGACAAAGGGCTTTCTAATCACAGGCTGCTCATCTGGGCCAGTGACTAAGTCGCTCTCCTCTCCTCTTGTAAGCCAGAACAATCCATGAGCCACAGCTTCAGAGTCCCAGGCCTGTGGGGAACACCTTAGTGGAGAGGAGAAACAATGGAGAGATTTTTCAAGAGACCTCGGCAGAAGTATTACTGGGATTTGCTTTGTGGCACTCCACAGAGGTTGGGGTCAGAGGATGGAGAGAGAATTGTGGTCTCTGATGAGACGTTCAGCAAGAGGGGGAAGGGCCACATGCTGGCTAACGCTGCGAAGGGCAGAACCAGGGTGCAAGAGAGACACCACGAGCAGGAAGGGCTCAGTTTAGACACAAAGGAGAACTTCCAGGCAGGAAGGCACTTAGGCTCTCAAAATTGGAACCATGGAAAGAAGTAGCAGAATACAAGTCTGAAATGTCCTCCAGGGACAGTGTAAGCGCATCTTTGTCTAGGGAGAGGTGGTTGATTTCAGTGGCTCTCAGAGCCTGCAAGGGCTAGGCCGGGTTGTCTCAGTAGCTCGGAGAGCAGGAGTAGGGTAAGAACTACAGGTATATTTTTCAGCTTGTCTGAACAAACTCAAGGGAACTACTGTTTCCGTGGTGCTGAAGCTCCTGAAATGAAGGAGGTCAATGACTCTTTTTAGAATAATATATATTTGAGGAGGGAGTCAGGTAAGAAACCCTGGCTGGCTCAGCCAGTGGAGCGTGCGACTCTTGATCTTGGGGTTCTGAGTTCGAGCCCCATGTTGGATGTAGAGATTACTTAAAAAAAATAATAAAACCTGGAGCACCTGGGTGGCTCCGTCGTTAAGTGTCTGCCTTTGGCTCAGGTCATGATCCCAGGGTCCTGGGATCAAGCCCCGCATCGGGCCCTCTGCTCCGCGGGAAGCCTGCCTCTCCCTCTCCCGCTCCCCCTGCTTGTGTTCCCTCTCTCGCTGTGTCTCTCTCTGCAAATAAACAAATCTTTAAAAAATAATGATAATAATAAAACCTTTAAAAAAAAAAAGCGACAGTGTAGGGAGTCAGTTAAGCGTCTGTCTTCGGCTCAGGTCATGATCCCAGGGCCCTGGGATTGAGGCCTGCATGCCTGCTTCTCCCTCTCCCTCTGCCACTCCCCCTGCTTGTGCTCTCTCTCTCTCTCTAGCAAATAAAATCTTTTTTAAAAAATTAATCAATTAAAATTAAAGCAACAGTGTAAACATTTAATAAGATGGGGGAGACCAGAGGTAGCATTTGCCTGGAGACATCCCGTGATGCTGACCCTGCTTTTATCTCCTCCCTCTGGATGATCAACAGCCTCCCAGGTCTTGCTTTCTGCAGGATGATAGGATTAACCTATTAGCCACCACGTAAGCCGTGTCTTTTGAAGGACATAACAGGGGTCATAGTGAAGAGAGAGATCCTGGGGCTCTGGAAACAGGAGCTTAGCCGAAGAGAGTGTGGATAAGGGGATAAGGGGTTTACATGGAAACCCACCGGAGGAGTCGGGGCTTGAGGGCTGCCCCAGGACCATGCCCACTCTCAGGCCTGTGTGGGCCTTGGGTCAGAGAGCTCTCCTACCCTGTGCTCCCTCCCCTCTCCTTAGGCTCATCCTGTTTCCCAGAACCGGCCTAAATTAACAGTCTGGGGGAAGGCATGAAGTCATCCTCTCCTCAGCACCTCACCTCTAACCCTCCCCTAGGTAAAAGATGAGAAAAATGTTCAAGAGGTGTTTGACCTGAGTGACTATGAGAAGTGTGAAGAGCTCCGGAAATCCAAGAGCAGGAGCAAGAAAAATCATAGCAAGTTTACTCTTGCCCACTCCAAACAGCCCGGCAACACGGTAGGTTTCTCCTGCCTCCTGGGCCCCTGGAACCCAGGCCGGCTTGCATGTCGGGGGCAGAGGAGAACACCCTTGCCCTTCAGGTTCTCCCCCCACTCTGGGCCCAGAGGCCCCACACTTGCCCTCCTGACAGCTTTTGTTATATAACCTGAGAATATTGTGGCCATTGCCTTCCCTCCAGGCGAGCCAGCCTTTAAACTATCCAACCACAGAGATCAGCTCACTCTCTCTCTCTCTCTCTCTCTCTCTTTCTCTGTCTCTCACACACAGGCACACATACATCATACATCTCTTGGAAGAAAATCACTTTCCCCGTACCCTGATAAGTTCTGAATCTAATTTCTCTTGTCTGAGGGGACTCAGGGAAGTTCCTGTCACTTTCTGTTTACTCAAACATTAAAGATCTTTATTTTAGTACCTGTCCTTTATTAACTGTCAAACCTCCTATAATTATCTCCAGTGACATAGTAATATCCATTACCCTTCCTAGCTCTTCCTTGGTCATTTCTAAAACAACCCCTAAGCTGTGGCATCTTCTAGGACTAGAGGCTGGTTTCCTTAGGTTGTGGATGACTCTGGAAGCAGAATCTCTCTCCTTCTAGGAGCTGGGTCTAAGAGAATGAGATGATAATTCCTTATTTCTTCACCCTTCCTAGTGAGGCACCAACCCTAAAACGCTGGCTGAACCAAGAATCTTCCCCTCACAGGCTCCCAACCTGATCTTCCTGGCCGTGAGTCCAGAAGAGAAGGAGTCATGGATCAATGCCCTCAACTCTGCTATCACCCGAGCCAAGAACCGTATCTTGGATGAGGTCAGGGGGGCTCATGTGGAGGGGAGGAGCACCAGGGCAGAGGCAGTACCCATGACCCATGTAAAGGGGGAGCTTTGGGGGTGGACCCCACTTAACTTGCTACCCCCCACGAGCTATACTTCTTTAGCCCCCTTTGAAAACCCCATTGTCCCACCTTCTGAGTCTTTCCGCCAACTCCTCTTTCCATGCTTTGTGGTGCCTGGGGCCAGCCTTGGAGCCCCCGCACATGCAATAAAGGCCTTGCCCTTGGATTTTCTCAGAACCAGTCAATGGGGTGGGTTTATTTCCCAGTCCGGGCCTGTTCAGGGGATGCTGGGTTGGTTACACTCTCTGAAGAGCGCCCGTGACTCACAATGCATCTCTACAGGTCACCGTTGAGGAGGACAGCTATCTCGCGCACCCCACTCGAGACAGGGCAAAAATCCAGCACTCCCGCCGCCCCCCAACTCGGGGACACCTGATGGCCGTGGTACGTAAGATTGTAAGAAAGTAAAACTTGTTCAAGGACCAACTCCATGTGGGTCCGTCTCAGCCGAGAGTGTTCAGCCCACCAGAGGCATTTGTGGTACCAAGGTCAAAGGCTCAAGAAGTCTCTTCACCCTGTCCCCCTGCCTGATTCCTCCAAATCAGAAATACTTATTTAGCACCTACTATGAGTTCAAAAGTCCTTGCCCTCAATAAATGTATCATTCTTGGTGGAAAATGAGATCTACCCACAAGGAAAGCGAACATAGAAGAGGTGAGTGCTGTGCCACAGAGTAGAAGTTAACTGCGCAGCGGTGGCGTCAGGCCCTGCAGTCACTTCCAGGAGGAAGGATCACCCCCCCCCCCCCCCCCCCCCCCCGCCCCGCAACACACCAAGTGCTGGTTCCTCTCACTGTCCGAGCTCTCGGTCTCGAGAGAGAGAGAGGCAGTCGGGTATAGTAGAAAGAACACAGGCTTTGGAGTCAGACAGAACCAGGTTGTAACCTAGCTTTGCAGTTGACTCTCTCCTGACTCCCTCCCTGAGGCTGCACGTCTTCAGCAGGAAAGGGGGCAGGCACCATGCCTGCCTTGAAGGGCTGCTGTGAGGAATGAATGACTGAAACAGCACATACATCGATACACCTGAGGTGCTGAATAGTACCTCTATTGTTTTTTATTACGGTAGTGTTCTGGAAATCGCACAAGTTTTACTCTAAGGCGCACGGTTCTGAGCTCTAAAGGGCAGAGGCTGGTGAGGTGCAGGGTCCGGAGGACACAGACGGAAAAGGACAGCAGTTGCGCTGTGCCCAGCATCCTGTGTGTGTCAAACCCCATTTGGTGCTTAGAGTCCCCAAGACGGAGGAAAAAAGGCACTCTTCAGGAGGTTTATAGTAAAAGGGAGAGTATGGGACACGAGCGGGAGAAGTTACTTTAAATCACAGAACAGTCAGAGAAAAGTTCCAGTCACTATCGAAGGAATAAGAAACAGTAAGAAAGTCAAAGGGCTCAGCCAGGATGGAGGAGGGAGAAGGCCAGTTTGCCTCTTTCAGACAGTCACTCCTGAACAGCCTGCTGATGGCAGTTCACCCCTTCACCCCCGCCCTCTCCTTCCCTAGGCTTCCACTTCTACCTCGGACGGGATGCTGACTTTGGACCTGATCCAGGAGGAAGACCCTTCTCCGGAGGAACCAGCCTCTTGCGCCGAGAGCTTTCGCGTGGACCTGGATAAGTCTGTGGCCCATCTGGCCAGCAGCCGGCGGAGAGCAGACTCAGACCGCATCCAGCCCTCCTCAGACCGAGCCAGCGGCCTGCCCCGGGCTTGGGAAAAGCCAGACAAAGGGGCCACCTACACGCCCCAGGCCCCCAAGAAGCTGAGCCCCGCAGAGAAAGGCCGCTGTGCCTCCTTGGAGGAGATCCTGTCTCAGCGGGACGCTGCCCCGGCCTGCACCCCCCAGCTGCGGGCCGGGGACCCCCCAGGCCTCATTCCACCCCACCCGGGGCAGCTGTCCCGGATCCAGGACCTGGTCGCCAGGAAACTGGAGAAGACTCAGGAGCTGCTGACAGAGGTTCAGGGACTGGGAGATGGGAAGCGAAAGGCCAAGGACCCCCCGGGGTCCCCTCCTGATTCTGAGTCAGAGCAGCGGCTGCTGGAGACGGAGCGGCTGCTGGGAGAGGCGTCGTCGAATTGGAGCCAAGCAAAGAGGGTGCTGCAGGAAGTCAGGGAGCTGAGGGACCTGTATAGACAGATGGACCTGCAGACCCCCGACTCCCACCTCAGACCAGCCACTCAGCACAGTCAGTACCGGAAGAGCCTGATGTGAACGAGGGGGATGGCGGCTGGAACTTGGGGGGTGGGGTACACGGACTCTTATCTCCAAGTGTTGCAGGATAAAGCTTTTTTATTTACCTCAGTCAAAAAAAGGAAAAAAAAAAAAACCCACAAACTCGTTGCTCTTGCTGCTGCCCAGCCTTCCCCCTGCCGCCCTTTCCTTCCTTATCTGTGGCTGTTTCTCTGGCATCTCAGTTGCCTCAGATTTGAGGAGGCGACCCCTACAGCAGGATTAAGAAGCTCTCACCTAGATGAAGAGAGGGGGGAATAAAGGCATAGTCTGGCCACTCACACACACCACCCCTCAGACACGGCAGGGAACCTCCTGCGGCTCCCAAGGACGTGCAGAAGCCAAGTGTGCGCGGGAGCCTTTTTCTGTTCCATCCCATTCCAGGTTTTCAGTCTGAGGGTGAGATTTCAGCTGTCCAGCTCTAACCCTGGGGATATGGAAGCCACTGTCAACTGCGCACACACAAGTGACATCTGTCCCGGCCCTGAGTAGGATTTGTGGGATCCCACCAGACACACCAGCTTCTTACTCATACCCTCTAATGAGACCGAGCTGCCTGGCTATCTTGTTTGCCATGTGTCTTCCCTTCATTCCCCCACCTTTCCCGACACCGACTCGAAGATCCAGTGCTGGACAGTTGGAATGGTGTGGTCCTTCAGTGGGCGTGGGGGGAAGTGCAGGGGAACTAGGGGCGGCTGACCCCACAGAAGAACCGCACTAAGAACGAAACTGATTTGCAATGCAAGCTGGGCAGGATTGAGGGGAAAACCAAACGTGTGGCCAGGTTCCTCTTTTGGCCAAGCTAGGTTTCCTGTAGCCTCTCCCTCTCCTTCCTCAAACCTCTCTCCCAACACTCATCAGGCCCCGACTTCAGCAAAACATCTCTGTGCTCACGCCACCACCCTCCTGGCCAGGCTCCCTTGCATTCTTGTCAACGGTGGATTTCACACACTCATTCTGTTTTGTTTGCTTCTTCCCTCTGAAGTTCCTAAGATCAGATTAGCAACAGTGACAGGGGCCAGAGAAGGGTTGTGAAGGCAAGAGCTGAGTGGGTTTTGACAGGAAGGGGACAGAGAGCCTCACGAATCAACTAAAGGGGTTAGAAGCCACTTGGAAGTATACGCACCCCTTGCTAGCCCCTTGACCCTCTTCCCTAGGTTCTCCTCTTGCTTCCAAGAGTCAAGACCTAGCGCTCCTCTTGGGGGTGAAAGGGGAGAACGTGGGGACAGATGGCCTGTTGGTGCTGGCGGTGAGGCTGCCCCAATGTGACATTCAGGAAGATGCGGAAGGAGGGAGAAAAGGAAAATCCCCTGGGGGAAGCGCAGACCCTTCAATTCCCAATCTTCTGCTCTGATGTTACTTACACATCCCAAGTAAGCACGACGGGGGATGTCTCCAAGTTAAACAGTCTCTATGGAAGAGAGGTTCTTGCACCATGCGATCCCGAAGGTTTTCCCCAGGTCTGGCCTGTAGTTCTTTAAACAAGTCTCTTCCCCGAGGAGTATGTATCCTACCTGAGTGAGGGAGAGAACACCAGAGCGCCACCTAAATGTCCTGCCCAGGGTCTCCTGAGGTAGCAGGTGAGGACATCTGGGTCTGCAGACTTGCCATGCTCCCAACAGGCCTCGCTCTGCTAAACTCACATGCTCGGTAGACCCCCTTGTTGTCCAATCATGAAAATCAAGGTTAAACTATTTCCTTGTAGAAGTGTCCACCTTCGTATTAATTTTATTTTACCAGCACTTTCCCTCTTCTTTTTCTTCCTGGTTGCTCCCACATAATGAAGAAAAAGACAAAAGCCGGAAGAACGTGTCTGTCCCAAGGTGCCAATTCCCTGTGGCTGCCAGGGGAGCTAGAGGACCCAGGGAGGCCCTGGGAGGAGAATGACAGGTGAGGGGAGCAGAAAAGAAAGATGGGGGGCTTCTGGAGGGGGGGCGGGGACTAAGGCCCAGGCCCCAGAACCAGGCCGCAGGGGAGCGAAAGGAGCCCAGCTTGGGAACCAGACAGATCTGGGTTCAGATTCTGACTTTTTCCTTATGAGGCCCCCGGGCAAGGCACCAGCTTTCTGACTGCCCCGTTTGCTCATCTGCAACATGGAGCGTTCCTGTTGGGCGGCCGGGGGGGGGGGGGGGGGGGGGGCAAAGGGGCCGGAGGGAAATGCCTGCCGCGGACACTGAGCAAATGCCTGCGGCGGCTGTGCCCACGACAACGCCACGCTGGCCTGGGGACAGCGAGGGCTCTAGGAGACCTCGGGCCCGCGGTTGATCGCTGCCACTTGGTTGTAGTGCGGGAGCGGACTGAGGCCGCCTGCCCCACGCAGTGCCCGCGCCCTTTCTTCAAGGACACGCAGCGCCAGGGACGGGGCTACGGCTGGAGATGGGGGGCGCGGGGGGCGGGGCGCCAGATCGCCTGTCCTCCGGAGCCGCGGGGGTCAGCACCAAGCCAGCCTTGCCCCTGGGACCCTGAAGGTGGGCGGACGGGAGGACGAGAGCACCGGGAGCCCACCTTCCCCTCGCCCAGACCTCTCTCCCCGCATTCTACCAGCCCAGTTTCTTCACCTGCCATATTGCCTCCACTCCCTCCCAGTTGCTGGGTTCTGGGAAGTGGGTAGACTGGGCAGGGGGCTGTGAGCCCACTCGCTTATCACACAGTTGCCAGCGGACCTGCTTCAGCATGTGTATTTTTTCTTGCCTTCCCTCTCCCATCAATTGGGCTATATTCCTTTCTTACACAAAGGAACTGGAAAAGGGAGAATCTTTTGGGAGGCCCTAGGATGGGGAGATGGGGAAATCCAGGACGCAGAGTTGAAACGGGGTAAGGAGTGGAGAGAGGTGAAGAACTAAATGCCACTTCACATTTCAGTGACCTTTTCCTCAACTTTGCCTGTTTCCCCGCCCTCGCTTGTGAAGTAGCCGTCTGGGAAACAGGAGGAAAATGTCTGCGGTGTTGACCTGCAGAGCTCATGGGTTCCTGTGCATGCGATTTCGCAGAGCTGTAGGCTGTTCAGGGCGAGAAGAAAAGTGGAGAACCCCGCAAGTTTCTCTAACTCCTGCTCCGGCCTTCGGAGAGCATGCCCTGCTGAGCCTGGAACTCTGACCCTAGCTCCCAGTCCCTCTGTCACCGGTATATTCCACCAAAACCATCCCCCCAAAATCTCTCCCTTTTCTACACCTCACAGGCAAGCAGGGGACCCAGCCCCATTCCACGGCCCTCCCTCGAAGCTCGAAGCTCGGCTCCAGCCCCCTCCCCTTCTCACTCCCAGCCCCTGCTCGGTACAGTTCTCTTCCTCCTTTCTTCCAAGCTCCCAGTCTCCCAAGCACAGCAGCCAATCCCCAGCCCGCTCTGGAGCCACACCATATAAGGAGAGGTTGGAAAGAAACCCGAGTAAACGCGGGAGCAAATACAACACACACACACACACACACACACACACACACACACACACACACACA